TGCTACATCATACTATTAGCAATGATTTTGATAGTTAAACTTCAGGAACTGATGTTTAACTTTCGAATCATAAACTAAATGCTGATATAAATTAAAAACCTAAAGGTATTAAGAATCAATAACAAAGAAAAGCAACTTAATGGTAAATTTTCCTTTAATGTTTTTGTTTATTATTTCAAAAATTTTTCTTTTATCATTGCTCTATTTTTAATCATAAACTTTGTGTTCTATTTGGGTCAATATTTAAGTATATATATATCAAAAATGTGCTAAAAATAATTTCACCTCATGGTTTTCGTGTCAAATATACATCCAACTACATTCTTTAGATTTAAAGCTCTATAATGTTTGTAAATTTGAAAATTTCAAAATAAAAATAATAAAACTTTTAGGGTTTTAAAACCTAATAATTTCAACCTCATGTGATTTGCATGGTAGTTAGTGATTAAAAAAAGATTCCAGGCCTCTTATCTGGCAAAAAAAATGTCTTAATTTTAGTTAAAATCTATGAATCGCTAGAAAGTTTTTAAACAGAATTAAAAACAGCTTTTTTTCATAAGTCCATAAATTACATCATGCTTCAAGGGGGGATGAGGGGATTAAAGGTTTTGTGACAGCTTGCTTCATAAGTGATACGATTTTGTGACAATGGGGGTGGGGAGGTCAAAAACAGTTAAAAATTGTGTGACATAATTTATTGACGACCCCTAACATAAGATATGGCCTACTATCTGTTGATCAGTTGGCTATCAACTCTTACTTGTAAAAAAGCAACCAACAAAATCTTCAATATACATCAGAATCTCCATGAAGTGTTGGAGCAAGGGTAACACTAAACTATGATAACTGATTTAGGAAACATAAGTATGGTAAGAGAAGAGTCATATTTTTAATCAATTTCTATTTCCTGTGTTATGTTTATATGTGAAATATTAATTAAATTAAATGATAAAATGTTTATGATAAAATAATAAAATTAAGTTGCACGTTATAAAAATGGCTCATCTGGTATTTAACAAGTATCACTCACCAGCACAGGCAGTGTTAATCTTATACCAAAAGTCATTTGAGTTTGTTTAAAACCACTGTTGGTGCAAAAAAGAAAATTGTTTATGAAAAGCTGAATCCTTTCTTGATGATTTACAAAAAATGTGTAACATATCTTAGTATCGTGAAATGTTGTTACTTTAAACAGTGGGGTAACTTTGGAAAATAAATTTTTGATAAAAATCTTTCTAGTAGAGTTTTTGTCCAATGTTACCCCACTGTTCAAAATAAAAACATTTAATGGTAGTCTTGAAAAAATTAAACTACATGGAGTCATAAATAAAAGTTGTCAGTGGTGAAAAGCAGCAATACATGATCCTATTTTACTATCAAATTAAAATTCTTTGAAATGGTATCTGAAATAAAACACATTTCTAAAAGGGTTTCAAACAAATTAACTTCTAGAAAACATTTAGGTACCATTTATGACTACTATTTTTGGTGATATAGTCAAAGACAATATATCCTCAAAAATGCTGCAAAAAATATGATTCACTTTATTTTCAAACTTGACATAAAAGACTTTAACTTGAAATAAAAGCATTAAAATGGGCAAAGAGATGCAGCATCATACAAGAAAAGCAAGCAGTTGCTACTGTGAAATCTTACAAAAGCAAAAAATTAAAAAAAGAAAAAAAAAATGTGGCATAAAATTAAAAAATTGTTTGCAGTTCAAAGTTAAATTGATTTTTTATCGAACAAGTCTGATAAGCTTGCCACTAATGCAGAAAAGTAAAGTTACTTTTAAAAGAGTAACTAAAAATTACACTTTTAAAAGAGTCCGATAAAAAAAAAGATGTTTAAAATTTGATTAAAAAAAAGCTAAACAAGGAGTAGACATTATTTTAAATGTGACATTTTCCTTTGATGATATTTTATTGTCATGTTAATAAAGCCAAATTTTTAATTTTCAGTACTTAAAAAAGCAATTATTAAAAAAGTTAATTTTTAAGAATTATTTTTAGATTTAGGTTTTGTAAAAGGTAAAATCCTCAAACCAATAATTATTAGTTTTTTAGAGTTTTAAGTAAAATTATTATTTATACTTTTTTCATTTACAAAAATGCTCTGAAATTCAAGTTGTGAACCTTTTTTTTTTTCTGGATGGTTTTTATAATTTATAACCAAATATCCTTGAAAAATGGGAAAATAGTCTTAGTATCGAGTGGACACGGAAAAATCCGGTCAACTTTAAATTGAGATTTCTCTAAAACCTCAAATACTTTTTATTAAATTTTTTTTGTATAATAAAATATTTTTAATGAAAAAAAATTTTGCTTACAAATTAATGATTTGCAAAATGTTTCCGGAACGAATTGAGGTGAGTAAAAAGGTTGTGATTTTTTTTTTTCAAAAATCCATAGACTTAATATCGCTTGATTGCTAAACGCACAAATTCTCTCCACAATCCTCAAGATCATTTTGAAGCAGTTGGTGCATTATGATCAAGAACAAACCAAAGTCAACAGTCATAGATATTATAAAAAAGTTCAAGACTCCTCAAAGCTTCGAAAGAAAACTTGAAAGTGGATGAAAGAAAACTTTCCATAAGTCCAAAAAGTTAAAGTCGATTTTACGTTCAATAGCAAGAAATCCAAACCAGTCACAGCAAGATCTAGCAAGAAAATTCAAGATTTTGTGTTCTTATATCAAAAAAGTACTTAAAAATACTGGAACTAAGGCATTTCATAAGAAAAATACATCTAAGAGAAGCTTAAATGGTGAAACTAAAGGAATTCGATGCGCAAAGAAGTTGTTTTAAGTAAAAGCGGATAAAAATATGTGCATAATTGAAGACGACGAAACATATTGCAAGGCGAATTTTTTACAACTTCCTGGTCAGCAATTTTACTATGAGAACAAAGATAAACCTGTCGATGATCAATTTGAATATATTCAACAAAAAAAATTTGCATCCAAGTTCCTTGTGTGGCAAGCAATTTATAGCTGTGGTATGCAGTCCTCTTGTTTTGTCACTAAGAAGACCTTGACTGCCAATCTCTACATCAAAGAATGCCTCCAAAAAAGACTTTTGCCTTTTTTGAAAAAACACAAATGCCAATGTCTCTTTTGGCCCAATTTTCCTGCCTCTCACTATTCTAAAAAAGTTCTACAGTGGTACAAAGATAATGGTGTGAAAACTGTTCCTAAAGACGTGAATCCTCCAAATCGTCCTGAAGAGCGCAGGATTGAAGTTTTTGGGCAATAGTTAAAGGAGTTCTTTGAAAGGCAGGTGGAATTCCAAAAAAAGTGGATTAATGCCACCAATAAGGTGAAAAAAGAAAAAATCTGCGAAATGATGGCATCAACCCGCTATAAAGTTCGATCTCTTGCCAAACAACCCATTAAGCCCCTTAAAATTAAATTGAAACTCTAATTTATCATAAATGCTTTTTATTTCAATTTTTTTATTAATAATAAAAAAATTGAAATAAAAAGCATTTATGGTTTTAGAGAAATCTCAATTTAAAATTGACCGGATTTTTCCGTGTCCACCCAATAAGTCATGAAATTTTGATTTTGTTATTTCTAAAAGGCATTTTTTCTAGCTCTGGTAATAAGTTTTCTGTTAACCCATTTTCTCACTTTGTTGGTAAACTTTTATTCAATTAAATTTTGCCTTAAGCTTTCTTGGTAATTTGGTGTAATAAAAGAAAATTACAACTTATCCTTAAGTACAAGCATTTTGTTTGTTATTGTATGTTTTTCCTTCCAATTAAAAAAATGATTTGCAGTTCCCAATTTGCTGTGTCTTTTAAAAAACACATTAGAACATATATAACACACACATATCTATATATATATATATATATATATATATATATATATATATATATATATATATATATATATATATATATATATATATATATATATATATATATATATATATATATATATATATATATGTATATATATATATATATATATATATATATATATATATATGTATATATATATACATTTAAGTTCTTTTAATCATCAAAAATCACTATTTAAAAAAATACAGAAGCCTGTTTAAGTAAAATATTTGTCTTGATTCAACATCAATATCTGTTTCAACATCTTTTTAGAACTTTCTTTGATTCTCTCTGAAAATTTGAAAATTGCATCAGTGGTTTCAGTTTTTTAATTCTTTGGAGTAAATGACCCCTCCAACTATGGTCCAATTATTCTAAAAAAACCTCATGGTTCTATCCTGTTTTGTTTCTTATTAACATTATTGATCTTCTTGACAACCTTATATTTAAAGTGTTTAAAGTGATATAAGTGATATTTCAAGTTGAATCATCAGCTCTGCTGATGATTCAATTTTAAACTGATGATAATGATTCGATTTTAAATCTTAACAAAAAGTATTATTTTTTTGATCTTAGAACAACTGATTTGTTATCATGGCTTCACAAAATGTTGATGGCAAATTTCCATACAAGAAGCATTAATTAAAAAAAAATACTTGGATAGAGAGAAAGTGTCTCTATGTCTATATGACATAGAGACACTTTCTGTCCTCTACGTCATATAGTCTCCATATATAAATGATTCTGGGTCAATATGTCCTCCAAATATAAATGATTATATATATATATATATATATATACATATATATATATATATATATATATATATATATATATATATATATATATATATATATATATATATATATATATATACATATATGTTATATAACGCTGATTTAACCATATAATAACGCTGATTTACCATTAACTTTTTACCATTATACAATAATAACATAAACAGTTGGTAAAATTTTTTTAGCATGCACCAAAAGTAGGTTTTTGTTGTTTTTGTGTTGTTTTCCGTTAGCGCGTAAGTATAAATAACTTTCCAGGTCCGCACTTTAAACAATTTTCACAACCTACTCTTGGTGCGATTAGCCTTAAATAGGATGCACATTTATATATTTTTTTAAAAACGCCTACCTAGAAAGCGCGTCACAAGTTTAGCGCATGCGTTTTTCAAATCTTAAAGTCCTCGTGAATTCAAAGTAACTTTTTTGTAATTAAAACGAGTTCACTTTATATTCTTGACATCAAAATGAATCAAAAAAACTTTTGCCAAGATTTGGAAGATGTAGCGAGTATGATGTATTTTTATTAGTTTATTATTTATCTTTTATTATTCTCTATTCAATTATTAAGTAAGATTTTTACTTAATTTTTTTACCTAATTAAAATAAATATAAGTCACTTATATAATTATATTTATTTACATATATTATTTTTCATTTATTTATGTATATATATATATATATATATATATGTATATGTATATATATATATATATATATATATATATATATATATATATATGTATATATATATATATATATATATATATATATATATATATATATATATATATATATATATATATATATAATATATATATATATATATATATATATATATATATATATATATATATATATATATATATATATATATATATATATATATATATATATATATATATATATATATATATATATATATATTAGGTACGTGAGTATCGCGTTTTACGGAACCGAATTTTGTGCTAAAATTCTGTTCCACGTTTTTTGTAGTCTCTTAAAAGTTAGAGTGCTTGAGGAAGGCGTTGTAAAATAACTTTTTAGTATTCGTTATCAACATAGATTATTTTTAGAAAGAAGAATAGTTGAAGCATTAGTTCGATTGGTTTTTAATTATACTTACTTAATTTATTAACGAGTTTATTGATGTCAAAATTTTGGTTGTACTTCTGTGATGAATTTAATGTCCAGGATAAAGTCTTTTTTTTTTATCCATTTTTTAAATTAAATTTATTCATTTATCTATGCACCTGCCAATTTTCGTTGAAAAATATTTTGTAGCAGTCACCTTATTTCTTGCTGCACTTTTGTTACCTAATTTACATTTTACCTGATGTTGGCGCGGGAGACAGAGGGGTCTATTGATTGTTTTTATTTATAATTATTTTACATATATAGTATTCATATTAGCAATATTTGACTTATGTCATAAATTGATATTGTAAACCTAGATATTTTAGAATAAAATTATAGTTAAAAAATTTGTACATTTAAAAGAAATTACTTTAATAAAACGATTTTTAGTAAATATTAAAATAAGACTTTGATTTTATATTTGATTTAGAAATAAAATGGAGGAAGAAAATAAAGGTTTCATCTAGTATTTCATCTAGTAATTTATTAATAAGAATTAGATGTGAATTAAATTATTGATGAATCATATCTAATTTGAAGATTGAATGTTGTTTTTATTTAATAAGAAATATCTTTATGGATAAGTTGTTTCGATATAAATTTATTAAACTGTTTTTAAATTATCTGGCCACTATCTAAATCTTTATGTATAACTTAAATATTTCTTTCACTGTTTTAAATAAACAAAGTTGTAGTGCAGTCGACAACATCAGTTAGTTACTTTCTGTATTCAATAGCTTAGTAGTTATTAAATAGATGCTATTATAATATATGTTCTATATAATATATATATATATATATATATATATATATATATATATATATATATATATATATATATATATATATATATATATATATATATATATATATATATATATATATATATATATATGTATACATATATATATACATATATATATATATATATATGATATTAGTTTTCTAATGCAGTTCTTTATTATGCCTGTGTAGATTGTTGTCTAACAATATTATTTCTTGTTAGTTGTATTTTTGTATACTTAATACTTACATTTTTTTAAGTCACTCTTTTTTCTGTAGACAATTTAGAACAAACAATCAGTAAGTTAAGTTTGAATTGTTTTAGTTACTATATCATTTAAAGTATTTTTATGCTGTGTTAGTATTCCTTGTTGAATAAATGTTTTGATTTAAAAGTTTTTTTAAAAGATTTAAGTTTAAGAAAAAAGATTGTTAAATGGTCAATTAATGTAGCACATAAAAACAGATTTACAAATCAACTGCATTGATGCAAAGTGAGAGATGAGATTTGCCAAAGACAAAAAATCAAGCGCCAAAAAATGGATGAAAAAGAAAAAAATTTTTTTGATACTAGGGTGTATCAAACCATCACCACCACACCTACCTCCAACGTTATTATACGCCTCTCATATACTCTGGTGGTTAAATATAATTTTATAACAATGTTTTTGTATATTTAAAATACTTATGTCTTGAAAAAAGACTTTTTTTTGTGAAAAGTCTTTTTTCAAGAAAAAACATTTAGTTTCATGCGGATAAGGTGGTGGTTTGGTGCCCCCTCTGTCCATCCGATACACCCGGTGGTTAGAGTTTAACAAAAATTTGTAGCCCACTCTTACACCTATCTTTTGACACCAAGGTATTTGTATTTCGATAAGAAATAAAAAAGTTATAACAATTTAAGTGAAGAAAAACATAATTTTGACCACAGTTTCTTCAACAATTCCATATATCGAAAAATCGGTACTTAAACTGTCATAACTTTTGAACCAATTGTTCGTTTTTGATAATTTTTTCACCTTTAAAATACTGTATCGGTCCTCTTTATAATGATATATAACAATAGAATATTTAAACAATTTGAAATTTTTACTCACGTACCTATCTTGAAATAAATTTATTTACTGAAATGTGTTTGCAACTATCTATTGTAATCAAATATGTACCAAGTTTAGAAAGTATACTTTAGTTTTTTTTATGAAACTTATAAATTAATATAATAAAAATTCATGCAAAAAAAACATTTTGTATGTTGTATACTAGATGGTAAGCGCAAGAAAGTATGACTCAGAATACAATCAAAAAAAAAAACCTTTAATATACTAAACTTTTATTACTTAGTTTTTTGCGACAAGCAATAAGTTTTGCTTTTATTACGTCGGTTAAAAAGATAAAATTAAATTTTTTATAACTAATAAGTTGCTTTGCTGTTGAGTTTTTTAACGTAAATTAGATACTTAATAATTACCTTAAATTAATGGAAATATATTCAAGCATTTACACTTTACTATTTTGTTCTATTTAAAAAAAATATCATATATTCTATTTTGAATGAAATTTATTGAGTAATTTTGGTTTTTAAAATAAAAATATGTTAGGTTAGTCAAAATGTTTACATTTGCCTCCTTAAAATAAAAATTTCTCATAGCGCTCCAATTAAAAAAAAAAAAAATTTACTGCTTAACTTACTTGAAACTTACTACTAATCTCATTTCATTTTTTAATCTTGTATTTATCCCATTCAATAATTTTTTTGCCCCATTCAATGAGTAGTTTTCAATAAATGGGACAAATGACCAGGTCTAATAAATCGTTCTTTTTACCAAAAGTACATAATAGTGCAAGAGCTAATGGTCATCAAACTGTTTTCAATATATAAGTTAAACAACTTTATCAACTTAAAAATAGCATTTTACGAAAACTGTTCTATTTAATAAGGTTCTCCCCTATATATGTCACACAAAAGCTTCATTTATTCAGTTTCAAAAAAAGTGCAAACAACTTTGCCAATTATTGGCCACATTTTTATAAGAAACACCCATTGCAGAAATTAACTGAAGTATATATTAAATATATACTAGTTATTTTTAATATAAATTTTAGATAAATAAAAGCTCTTTCAATTTAAGTAAGGATTATTGTAATTATCGTAACATCAAATTACATATAATGCAGGTAATAAAGATTTCACCAAATACTGGCTTGTATCTTATATAAAATACTGGCAAATGTATTTATTATGGACATTTATTATAATTCAATTATTTAGAAACAAAACAAAACTAAAATATCAATCAAGATAATTTATTCAATTTAACTCATTCTATGCTAAGTACAGATAAGGAACCTCGAAAAAAAGTTAAAAAAAAACTTATTCCTAAATACCATCATTTTCTGTCTTCAATATCTTGACAATTTTCAATATTTTCAATATTTTAATTCTTCAATAGAGGTTGATTTTTGCAAACTTGATATCTCGGCTAACTTCTTTTTATAATTTGCAGTTTTCATTTTTTTTTAAAAAAAACCATTTGTTATTCAATTTTTCCCTTTTCGCAAGCAACTTTTGCAGCCTAAAGACAAAACCTGTAATGTGAAGAAAAAAACACAACAACATTAAAATAGAGTTTTTGAGTTAATCTTCTTTTGTTTAATTTGTGGTGAAGGATAAGTGATTAGAGTCTTTGCCTAATAGACTAGATGAACCATTAAATGGAAATTAAACTTGGAAAAAAAACTTGAGTTGTATTGATGTGTTGTGAGAGGCTATTTTTTATTATTTAGGTCTGGGTGTTGTAAACATTCACTAATTGGATTCAAAAAAATACTTGTAGTACCAATGAAGATGAAGTACCAATAAACTACTAAAAGAAACTTTTTAAACTAATGTTGATTTAATTATTTCTACTTCATCAAAACTTACATCTGTACTAATATTGTTTTGAATAGAACAATATTGTTTTGAATAGAAAAATCAATTGACTCATTTTTTACTATAGGTTGAGTTCATGCATTATTGTGATGACACATTGTCACGGTTTTGAAAATGAACCAAATAACTTAGAATATGAAACTGTATCCACTGGGTAGATGTATTCATCATTGTTTGACAGACATCAGAATACATATTTTTTAGTGACTTAAAAACTGTGCTGACCTAAGGCTGATGTGAACTGGAAGTTTTACATCTAATTCCTTTCTAGAATTAAAATCTGTGGCCACGCAGAACTATTATTTGAATAAAATACTTTTTCAAACCGTAACTTTAAACCTTGTTTAGTCCAGCTAGAAACACTCAATGTTGCTCCTTCACTATTATGAGGTATATGGCTGGCTGCTTTTATGCAAGCTATATTAGTAATGGTTTCTTTGTTACCACTTGTTTGACTCTGAATGTATTTTGATCCTTTTCCTTGCAACAACACATTTTGGTTTATGATCTAGTTGTAACCCTGTTTCATCCATGTTCCAAATACATTTGGTTTGTTAAATAGGTTCTTATTTTGAAATTTTCCCCCTGTCTATACACATTTGTGGTAAAGAATATGTTGGTTCTGGACAACGAAGACTTACACAACCATACCTCTTTTTAAGTAGTTACTACCAGTTTTCAAGATTTTTAAAATTTAATCTGTTTTTTTATTTGCCAGCTTAGCAGCATAATCAATAAATGTTATTTTCAAAAACCGATGCCCATTTGGGCTTATATGCCAGCAAAATATTTTTTTTAAGATCACCTTTAATTGGCTTTTTCCCTGGTTATGCTCTTATTTTAGATTTTCTATAGATAGTAGCCTGCATAGTTGAATGTGGAACTTTTTTATACTTGCTTTTTAGTAAGACATACCATTTATTGCCAGTTTCATATTAGAATCTGAATTGTCTTCAGCATGCATTTTTTTTTATTATACTTGAAATTGGTTTAATGATAACATTTGACTTTTGGATTTTTCAGTATGCTTTAACTTTTTTGTTTTTCTTATTTAATACTATTTTCAACTAAAAAAATAAAATAGTATTTATTGAAACAAGTTTAAAAACACATGTCAATAAAATAAATCAAAAAATATATATTAATTACTCTTTTTTTTTTACCTTTAATGCAACATTTAAACTTTCATTTAGTATGTATAATCAAGGTAATTTAAGTAAAATTTGGATGTTGCTTACCAGTTAACAACCTTAATTTAACTTTTCTCACAAATGTCATGTGTCCAGATTTTATCACACTTAGTTATTTATTATGTCACATAAATTATAACTAAGTTGAGAAAATCTTATTTTAAATTTTTAGAAAAAACATTTTAATTAAATACTTTAATTACAATTGTTGTATTATTTTATTTACGAACTTCAGTAAACAAAAGCTTTTCACATAACTTAAAAATAAAATTTTCGCATGATTAGTATAAATTAAGTGCGGACTTTAATCGTATTCTGAGTAATACTTTCTTGCACTGACCATAATTTAATTTATGAAATAATTAATATTCTTCAAATGTGGAGCACGTTTTCACTAGGTTATCGTCGAAGATTAAATTTAAATTGGTAAAAAAATTATTATTAGAGATAATAATATTTAAATTTATTAGAAAAAACAACATTGAGTAGAGGTAATACAAGACATTTTAACCTTTTAAGACAAAATATTTAAAATTTTGAATATAAAAAGCTTATGTTGATGTTTGTTTTCCTACTCGTTTAAAAGCATTTCTCAGGAATGTTTTTAAACGAGTAATATAACATAAGCTTTTTATATTCATAATTTAAAATATTTTGTCTAAAAAGGAATTTCCTCTACAAGCACGTTTTTAATGAAGTATCAATTTCATTTTTTGTGTGTTTGTTACTGTTTAAATTTTTTTAGTTGTTATTTCTCAAGAAGGAAGTTAGGTTACTGTAGAAACTTACGATGAAGTACTTGTTTTGATACATAGCTTCGAAACAGAGACTGTATCAAAGTTTTATGCTATAGTGCTGCTAAAAACTTTGGAAAGATGGGTAAGACAAATTTAATTATGTGTTTTCAAAATGCAATTGCTAAATTTTAATTTTCTTTTATAAATATATAGTTATAATTTAAAAAATTTTTGTTGTTGTTATCTTTAAAGATTCTTCTGCAAAACACCACAAAATAAGATAATTCAATATCATTTAATGGTATTCCCTTTATGGTTTTAGGATGTAAAGTGCTTGATTGTATGCACGGGAATGATAGAAAAGTCTCTTCTAAAGAAGTTTATAAAATTTATTTATTATTATGTTATGTTTTTCTTTATTAACTTATTACAAAATAGCTCCTGTATTTAATGTCTAAACCTTTTATTTATGTTCTTTTGTCTAATTTTCTTAATAAGTATCAGATCACAGTTTTTCAAAAAGCTATTTGCTATATTTAAATTTCTTGGTCACCAAGAAATTTAACTGTAGTTTTCAAATAAAAATTTAGAAAATTTAAAATTTCCCAAGTTATAAAGTTTTATTTCTTTGTTTGTTTAATTTATATTATTTAAATGGGATTTAAGTCAGTCCTATATTAACTATTTAAGACATACATGCATCAACTTAAAATATAACCAATTAATTTATGCTAATTCTTTTAAAAATATTTTAGATTGCTGAGGATACTAAATTTAGAAGAGTGCAATTCTCAAACTGTATTAAAGATGCTTTGTCAAGAAATAAAGAAATAAGGGAAAGAGTGTTTCCAGTTTGCTTTCCTTCAAAAAGTTCTCATACTGGTCATTTTACCAGAAATGTAAGATTTCTTTTTTGTGTAGATAAAGTTAAACAGCAGATATTAAGAGAAAAAAAACATTAAAGAGTTATCCAAATAGTTTTCGTTTCTTGTTTGCATATTTTAAACATCTTAAAGTTAGTTTATAATTTCAAACATGTTATTTAACTTGTTTTGTCATATAACATTAAAGTTATAATTTCAAACATGTCATTTAACTTGTTTTTTCAAAACTTCGAGATCGAGTTAGAGGCCTATACTTTGAAGAAATTTGTAATTAAATACCTTTTTTTTTCGTTTTAAACGACAATCTTTTGGAATCTCCAATTAAAATCTGTAAATTTGGAGGTGGTGCAAAAGTATATTAGCGCCTGTAAAAGATCTTCAGATGAACCTTCAGATTGCAACAGCTTTCTTCAAAGCTCTAAACGGATGGACCAAGTTGCAACAGTAATTACATTTCATTTATTTGATCTATATATAGGACTCTAATAATTAAACTTCAAAATATTATTTAAATAATATTAATTTAAACAGTTTAATATTAATTTAAACAGTCATTTAAAGTTCTTTTAAAATCATTTTCTTGTTATACGATATTTATGTTTTATAAAACACGATTTTGACGTCATAAAATTATCTTTATTTTTTTATATAGACGTTAAGTGTTTTAACTACCGCAATAAATAAATAACCGCAAACTAGTTCAATTTAACAATTAACTCAAATAACTATAAACGTTTTAAATGTAAATTTATTATGAAAATTTTGTAATGTTTTCAATTGTTATTTTATTATTAATTTTAGTTCAATATTATTGAGTAAAATATATATATATATATATATATATATATATATATTTTATTTCAGAAATTTGTTTTTGAATAATTGTTTTTAATCGTTATTGAATAAAAAATAATAATGATTTTTTTTTATTTTTTAAAATTTCTAGAGTAAACAAAAAATATTAACATTGATAAACACAAAGCCATGTTAATTATTTAAACAACGATTTTGTTTTGACTAGCAAAGAAAAATTTAGGTTTTTAAATATTTTTTAAATTTATCTTGCTTCGCGTTTCTACTTGCGTTTTATAAAAACATAAAAAAGTTTTGTCTGCTTTGAGCATATTTTTGATACATAGTTTAGAATGCGTTTGCTAGGAATTTAATTCATAAATCTTTTATGTTATTATGAAAATATTTTACTTTTAAAACAAATCACAAAGAAAGAGAGCTATAGAGAAAAATCGCTTTTAACAATTAAATCTTTTTTTTTTAAATTTTAGGAAATTAAAAGAAAATAATTAAATTAAATATAAAAGTCTTAGTTATGCAAACTCTTTTGTTAATTATTCTTAAAACAAAAAAACAAATACTTCTACGCAAAACTTTAATCGTGCAAACTTAAAAAAATACTTAACCGAAATAATTTAAGTATAATTAATAATTTGAATCGTACCTGTTTATAATAAACGTTCGTAAAAATTTGTTTATTAAAAATTAAGTTCCTTAACTTATAAACAAACTCAAAAGTATTTTCATTCCACGTATAATTACAAAACTCTTTTTTTTTTCATTTGTAAGCAATTTAACTTAATAAAATAAAAAAAAGAATAAATATGAGGTAATCTTTGTTGAGAATAAATTTAATTTATTTATTGAACTATATTTTTATTTTTAAATATATACCAACTTAAATAATATATAGTAACATGTTAAAATATTTTAACATGACTTGTGTTATTTATAAACCGTTGGGCAGTTGCGCTTACGGCACCATTGTTTTTGGATAATATTTTATTTTGATGAAGATCACATAACTTACATTTGATTTTAATAACGTAGGTCTTCTCTTTTTCTGTGATCATCGCATCGGCAAAGTCCCAAGATTTAAAAGTTTTTAAAGTAAATCTTTTGTCCTTCAAAATACAATCCATATTCGAACATTTAAACTATATATATATATATATATATATATATATATATATATATATATATATATATATATATATATATATATATATATATATATATATATATATATATATATATATATATATATATATGTATGTATATATATATATATGTATATATATATATATATATATATATATATGTATATATATATATATATATATATATATATATATATATATATATATATATATATATATATATATATATACATATATATATATATATATATATACATATATATAATTTTTGTTTATAAAAATTTAATTTTTAGTTTAACAGCTCATTAAGAACAGCTCGTCGAAAAGGTTTTGAAAAGGCTAAAGTATCTTTAATTGAAGATGCTAACATGAAAGCACTTAAAAATGAAATTTTTGATGGTTATGAACATGCAATTACAATGCAATTTATAATAATGATGTTTCGTTAGAATTTAGCAATGTAATTAGTTCAGATGAGTCATCTGATAAGGGCGATGATTATGAATGTAATGCAAGTTGTAAAAGGAAAAAGTTCAATGTCTCATATTGGTGTGAAATACAATTTATTGTATTGCATGGACCATCGTAATTTAAAGTTAAATTTAAAAAATAAAGATTGCATCAGTGGCATAGTAAAGTTACGGCTATTTATTAATCTAGATGGTTTGCCTGTTTTTAAATCTTCTAAAATTACTTTTTGGCTAATTCTAATGTCATTTAGAGATTACAATCATATTGGTGTACTTCCTGTTGCTTTGCACTGCGGTGTTGAAAAGCCAAATTTAAACGTTTATCTTAAACAGCTGGTTGATGAGTTGCAAACTTAGGACTACAAATGGTTATTTCTGATGTTGACTTTATTTGCAATACACCTGCACATTCATTTGCTCTAAATATTTTTAATCACAGTGCATTCTACGGATGTGGGTACTGTAATATAAAAGGTGAGTATTGTTACAATCGTATTATTTTTACAGATCAGCATTGTACACCCCGTTCTGATGAAAGTTACAAAAATATATCAGAAAATAATCAGCATGGCCCTTCACCTCTTTTGAATATTCCTCAATTAAGTGGACTGCAATCGTCATGTCCTCCAGAATATATGCATCTGGTACTCCAAGGTGTGGTGAAAAAGTTATGTACATATTATTTTACTAAAGTGCCTTTCTTAAATTTATCTTGTAGACTTTCAGAACATTTACTCATAAAATTATCAGCTGAAATTGATGTTATAAGAAAGTATTTACCATCAGAATTCCACAGAAAACTTAGTTCTTTGGTTAATTTTAAAACTGGAAATCCTCTGAATTTTGACAGTTTGTTTTATATCTTGGACCATTTTTCTTAAATGATAAATTGCCAAATCGGTATTAAAACCATTTGACTACATTGCACTTCAGCTTGTATGTTTTGGCTTCTGATGAAATTTTTGCTTATCATGGTATCGCATTTGTAATGTTACACCCGTTCGAAAATGTATTATGATTTTTAGTTTTTTAATTATCCCATTGGTCTGTAAATTAAATTAATGTTTAAAGATATTTACAGGACTTGATTAGTTTTTTTAAATTTCGTAAACATTTTTGTGTTTACGAAATTTAAATTTTTGTGTTTACACAATCCTTATGCATTGCCTTTATTTGAAGATCGGAGGAGGATCTTCAAATAAAGGCAATGCATAAGGATTGTGTATATGCGGCATGCATATAACAGATAAGTATTTTATACACCTGTTGGAATTGAAAAATAAGGAGTGTTTCAGTAGTAACATTTTTTTAAAGTAAATTAATCTTACAAAATTGTATTTTATTTTATTTAATATGTTTCAGTTGGAATTGATACAAAATTGCTTGTTCAAAAAATGCAAAACTTTGTATTTAAAAAAAATTTACCCCTAAAAATGGACTCCTTAATCTTATTGATCGTTTGGGTCAAAACAAAAGGCAGAGCATTCCATCGTTGAATGTGAGTATTTTTAAACTAACTCAATAAATTATTTTTATTGTAATCAATGCGCAAAGCATTGCATAAAATGTGTTGAGTATTTAACTTAGGTAAAGTTGAGTTGATTATGAGCTGTATTTATTATGAGTTCTTTTGTCCTTTTTTAGTAACAGATTTTTGTGTATGTCAAGGATTAACCTTTTTTGGATATTTCCAGAATTCTGGAAAATTTTTTGTAACTTTTTTTTTGCTGGATATCTAAAACATTTTCTATACTTAAAAGTTTAGATACATCTATTTGTTTTATAAGCTTTTTCACTCATCTCTCATAAAAAAATGAAGAAAAGTTTGAAAAAAAAAAAGAAAAAACTCAGCTAAAAGTAAAAATAAGAGGAAAATAAGAGAAAATATTTTCCGTGTATTTTACCCAAACAAATTTCCGGATTTTTAAAATATTGCCTGGACGATCCATGATATGTTTATTGTATAAAGCTATGATTGTATGTATATTAAAAAAGTTGTTTTTTTAGCATATTTTTACTGCAGAATCAGAAGTAGAAATTGATTTTAATACATCAAAAAAAGCAAGAAAACTCCTTTATGTCAACAAAACAGAAAGAGAAAAAAAAGTGTATTTTTGAAGAACCTCCTTTACCATCATTACCATTGTGGGAGCCACCAAAGCTTCCTAATTCCGATTCAGTATACATTTCGTAAAAAAATAATTTTTTTAGTTTCTGGTTTATTTGCTTTTTTTAGTTATCATTTTTAAATTTAAAAAAAAAAAAAGTATAATATAAACAGAATATTGTGAATGTATTTATAATCATTGTTAATCTTGTTTAGAACTTTTTGTCCGTCTCTGCCTCAATGGATCAAGTAAATGACTTGCCAGTTACACAGATAGTGTTTCCATCAGAAATGCAGTCTGTTTCACAAGTTCAATCGTTACTGCATTCATCTTCTTCCTTTTTTTTACCATCTCAAAAAAATGGGATAGACCAAATAAATAACTTTATTCGGAAAGCAAATGTTTAACCCAATACTGTTGAAGGCATTCAATTTATAGTGAATTCCATGTACAGAAAACTTTGTGGGTTGGAAACAGAAATGCGTTCCATGCGTTCAATTTTAGACACTAGTCATGGTAATAAAGAAAATATTAATATAGATTATTTACCAGCTAAATCAGTTGAAGAGTTTGACTCACTAGAAAATAAAGTTATTAACTCTAATGATAAAGATATCATTTGCAGAAAGTTAAAGCAAATTTGTAGGAGAAATGTAAGTGACTTTTTAAAATATGCTTTAAAAACTTGTTTTACTGATAAGCTGTGTTGCAGCATTAATCGAACTGGTGCAGATAAAAAGCGTAGGTTTATAGGACTAGTCGAAAGTTTGATTTTTGATGCAGCTTACTGTTTATTTTCAACTGCCACTGAATCCAGTATGACTACAATAGTTGCAAAACACTTGAAAAAGTCTAAAGATCGTTTTTTTGCTACAAGAAAGAGAAATTCTTCTTTAACAAGTGATATACAAATACACAGACCTGTTAGAAAAAAAAGAAATTTAAACACTGACTCGTGTAGTTAGACTCAGTTAACTTATTTTATTTGTTTATTTGTTCTATTATTTTTGATTGACTTTTTTTTTTTTAGATATTTTATTTGTTACAACTTTTTTAGCAATTATTTTCGAAAAT